GGCATCTTGACCTATCAATGTTCAGTTTGGCAACTGACAATTTGGTAAAACCTAAGGCCTGTTCCTTAATAGCCCTCATTATTGGCAATTTTCCTTACTGTGTGATATACAATTCTTATGATGTTAATAGGGTAATTTAGTATTATCAACTGAGTTGATAACGTAATTGGCCACCATTATGTTACAAGTTCAGTTGATAAATTACCCTGTTATACCCTCCCACCAACGTAGCACCACAGTTTCTTAAGAAACTTATCCCCTTTATTCATTTGTTTTATGATGTTAGTTTGGAGAATTTAGTTTTAAATTAATTAATAATCCCAAAATTGATGTTGTTCGTTATTTTCATCACTTGTCTGCTAGATGTTGCATTGATATTGTAAGGGGAAATTCTGTCTTGGTCAGTCATGGGAGTTGAAGGGTTAACCCTTTGACTCCCAAGATCTCATTAGTGAGTCTCCTTACTGTCTGCCTTACAGTTCTTGTAATGTTAGTTTGGAGAATTAGGTATTGGATCAACTCATAATCCCCTGATTGATATTTTTCTTTATTCTCGTCACTTGCGTGCTTGATATTGTCTTGATATTGTAGAGAGAAATTCTGTCTTGGTCACTCATGGGAGTTAAAGAGTTAAAAGTACTGATAGATATCATTCCATCGGGACTTTTACCTTATCATTTACCTTATTGCTTGACGTAACACACCGGTACAAGCTGCAACAATTTTTGGCTGTTTGTTTTCTAGTCCCTTTAAAACTTCCTCCTAAAATAGAATAGGTATGAAGAGAAGATGATACCCTCTAAATCCTGCCAATCAATTTACTGCATATTACCCTTATCAGTAATATTACTGCTGAGAATTAGGAATTTTGGACAAAAATTTTGCAAGCTCTGCATCTGAGCCCTGACTGGGTGATTGTGTTGTGTTCGTAAACAAGAAATTTTACCCTCACATTGCATCTCTCTCCACCCATGAGTGGAGGATACTAGCAAACTGTCAAGGAGTAGGAGATGTGGTGACCTGACCCTTGGCACTCTAAATACTCTGAGTCAACAAGTCCAAGTTTAAGGCCTGACTAGGTCACTGTATTGTCTACTTAGGCAAGATACTTTACACTTACACCCCCTTTCTCTACTCAGGAGTATAAATAGATAACTGTTAATGGTCAAGGAAGCCTCAGAAAATCCTGGGGAAGGGGTAGGTGGTTACCTTTGATCAACCACCTCTTCACTAAGGAAATGTGTACATACTCCAAGTCATTACATGTAACAAAATTGAAGGTTAGAGGTTAAGGAGTTAGAGGTTACTTGGCTAGGACCAACCCCCCTCCTCCTCCCACCCCAAATGCATAAACAGCAGAGAATCTGAGTACTAAACATTCTGTATATTGCATGTGCCAACAAATTTTACAGATGTTTTGCCAAAGGCTCCAAATTGTATTAGAATACCAACAATAAAATCATGCAAAATCATTTCAAAAGTAAGGAGAGACACCATCCATTTCACTTACTTGAACAACATCTTGCTTCTCAACTTCTATGTACATCAAAATTATGTTAATCCCTTTTTCTTTGGTTTTTGGTCTTGCATTCAGACACTTAGTGACCACTCCTGCTATCAAATCACCAGCAACCCTTGAATGAAAGTCCACATCAAGAAATGTTAAATGCCGTCATTGTCTCTTGTCAGGGTGAACATTATGTACTTCCTACTCTAAAGAGCATGAGGTCCTTAAATTTGTCCAATTGTCATACGTCTGGGCTCAGGGCTCTGGGCAACACTTTCTTTGTTTCTGCCTTAATTCATCTTTGTAATGACATTCTCAACCTGGTGCCCACACTACTGAATAGGCCTTGCATTGTTACTAACAGACTTCTAAAAATCACCGAATCTCAGAAATAAGTCATCCAGCACAACTTTAATCTTTTGTCAAAAATTCAAACCCTGTACACCAATTGAATCAGGTCCTTGATTTCTGGTTCTTCTACAATAGAAATCAAACTTTGAGGTTTGACACTATCATTGGCAATATTTTATTATCTAAAAAACATTATAGTTAATAGCAGTGAGGCTTTGATTACCAGGTGATTGAGTTCCCATGAGAAATTTTAAAAACATTGATCCATACACCATGAATAATTACAAAGTTGTAATTATGCCGAATTTATCATATTCAACCAGTATAATAGGCATTAATTAGAAGCTCTCTTGTCTTAGAAAGAGACTGAAATTAGGTTGTTTTATATTGTACTTTCGCCAAAATAACCCATATCAGGCTGTCTAATCGATGGCAGATTTGTTTACCACTTGAACACCTATTCAAATTAAAGTTTTATCGCGTTCGATTAAAATACTTGATTACAATGATTTAACGTAGAGAAAGAAAAATCAGGAGGGACTTACCTGCCAGAAATCGAAGGAGAAGCAGCTTCTAAAAAAGCTAATACTGCTTCAAGACCCTTCTCTTGGGCAACAGCATTATTATCGATGACAAATTTCTTCAGCATTCCGAGATACTTGTTGAATTCATTGCTACTTTCATCGTCAATCTTTCGATAAATTTTCACAAGCTCTTCGTAGCCGCTCAACCTCGCTTTCCACACCTAGAAGATGAAAATACCATTTTCACATAAGCTCTAAACTTCCCTATCATTTCCAAAATATTGGATTTGAGCAAGGCGCGAAATTCATTCACCTTGTGACCTAAGCGATCTTCGAGCGGGAGCTTTGTAATATCGGCATCATCTGCCATGGTGTATCGTATATTTTTCAAACGAACAAATGTATGCACAAGTACAGCTCGTAATCCTTTCCCAGAGCGTGGCAAAATAAAATTTTGTAACGTTAACTCCGCCGCACTTTGCAACGAACATTTGAAATGGCCGACTCAGACAGAGCACGTGATCAATAAGAACCAATCACTAACATGCTACCAAAGCAATGATATCATGTATTGAAGTGTAAGACTCATGAAATGTCACATAACAAAGTAAGTGTAAGAGATTCGATGAAGGACATAAAGAATGACTTGCTGGGTCTTTCAATTTAAGCGTCAAGTTTTCTTATCTCTTTTTTCTGGCCAGGAAAATCATATCTGTGCTTCTTTATAACTTTATTTTCGGCGATATTTTCTCTAAGCGAGAAAAATTTAAAATAAGGGTCCACGCGAGAAAACGCGCGAGACAAGGGTAAGTGGAGATGCGAGAACTAGGGGTCTCTTCTCACCGAGGGGATGGGGGCCGGAAGGACTCTTTGAACGACTGGATTTCAAAAAAATAAATAGAAAATGAATGCCTAGGCACTCAATCACCTCAAAATCAAAGAGATTGGAAGCATGTGTCACAAAGTTAGGTCTGGTAAGTACAGTAGTTCTGTACTTGCATTTCCGTTATCTATCACAAATTATATAATAAGGTCAGTTGTGCACGCATTCTGATTGGTTTTCACTTATAATCTATCGGAGGACAGACATATAGATGACATCATCATTAAAACTTTTGTTAATTCTTTATTATACCAAACAGATAGATTCCAAGTTGCCATGCATCTGTTCAGTAATAGATCAAAATGTGGTAAGAACATCAGTGACACACTCGGCTGTGCCTCATGTGCCACTTTTTTGTTCTTACCACATTTTGATGTCATCTGTGATCTATCACTGAACAGACGCACGGCAACTTGGAATCTATTTGTTAAAAAGACTAAATATCCTTTACATATAAACTTAATTTTTTCTTTTTCTGACAGAGGGACCATCTGCCTATTCAGTTTTAAGAAACAACCTGGTTCCTTTTGGGGACAAACTGATTATGGAATATAGTCAAATGCCTGTGGGTTGCCCCTGGGGGGGAGGGAAGGTGGGGGGTGGTTGTTGAAGCTACGAATTTATCAGAGCATTATTGTAAACCCATACTAAACAATTCACAGCAAAAAACTGGATGTGTCAATAACATTTATTTGTGTTGTCAATAATCTGTCAAAGAAGTAATCTCATATTAAAATAATTTTACAGTAATTTTTTGATAATGCTTTTAAAAATACATCTTAAAGTGCACCATATGTGATAATTATTAATTTGGAGGAAAAGAGTTAACTTTGAGACTATAATTGTATTCTGAGTAAGGTTAACTGTAATAAATTACCCCAGGAGCACTTTTTAATAGAAGCTCACCAAAAAGTGAATGTAATTATTTCACGTAAAAAAGGATATTGCATAATCAGTAGCAAAAGTTTTGTGAACAGATCACAGGGTGTAATATATTATGACCAAGGCAAGTCAGTGTTACCTTGCATACTTAATGAAAAATGCTCTAATTGCTTTTACGTTGATTTGCTTTACAAATGCAACACGGTACATAGTCATCCAGGAAGTTCAATGCTAAATCAAATCAGTGGTACACTTGTTTCATTGCTATCATCATCTGAGCATGCAATGGGCAGTTAATTTGAGTACCATTACAACTAAATTCAAAGGTGTCACAACAGCCAATGACAGCCTTAAAAAAAAATAACACAACAAACATTCACTGGGCAAAGCAACCAAAATCAATGAGGGTAATTCCAGATGACTTTCAATAATTAATTGAGAATTACCCTCACATTGGTAAATGGATCATCCCAATTATGTTGTACAACAGAAATAAGGAGAAGGTTTAAGTGAGGAGAACAAACACATTGACAGTATCAAATAAATACTTTGAAAATTTTTATAGCTGGGGTATATGCCCGAGTGTCAAATATTTAACAAGGTCTATAAGCCCATAAGTGACACAAAACAAATTTCAATTTGCAATAAAATTAAATCAAATTAACCCCTTATACCCTAATATTGGTATTGGTGTTCTCCAAAGTATTCTCTTTACACTTCCTATGGTACCGACAAGGAGAATTTGTTTTGACAATCAAGAACTTCTTAACCCTTTAACTCCCAGAAGTGATTAACATAAAACCTCTCCCTACAATAACCATACATTATTCAGCCAACAGGTAACGAGAATATTCAAAGTTATCAGGTAGAAGCTGCTATCTTGATCTAACACCAAGTTCTCATAGCTAATTTACAAGGAAATGTGTAGCAGCTAGAAGGGAGAATTAACAATCAGATCTTGGGAGTTAAAGGGTTAAATTGGTGACCCTTTCTTTTATACTTGTGACTTTAACATTTGATTTAATGGTGATATTGTAAGGAGAAACTAGAAGGCACACACTCTAAGGGGTTAAAGGTTTATCAATCAAGATAGTTATGAGTATTACGCATACATGGTGACCAGGATGAAATTTCAACATCCTTTTTTATTTTCAGAAATGACTTCTCCCTATCTCCCTTCAACTTCTAAAACAGAAGGATTAATTCTTAGTGATATATCTTTTCAGTAGGAGTAGAAAGCAGCTCCTCTGTATGAACCAAGGCAAAGAAGGTGTCAGAGAAAGATAATGGCTCAAGGAGTAAAACTTAGGAAACATTCAACCCTGCAAATATCCCCTTTAAATTGCTAGAAACATGAGAGTTGTGTATACTAAATACATTTGGGGAGGTTAAGTTATCCAAATTATCCCAAAAATTGGGAGTATCAATTTCATGCACTGGGAGTCAAACCATCAGTGTTTTCCTGTATTGAAGGAAATGAAGGATGTCCATTTGTACCAGTAGATGACACGCCACCATAATTAACCTCAGCATTCAATTCTCTGTTATGTGGGGCAGGAATGTAGCAGTCTTTGGCATCAACATCAGAGCGGTAACGCTTTTGCCTCCAAAGTGCCAGTAGAGGAATACAAAGGGCAGTTGTCACAAATGTGCACCAGTTAATCCATCTCAACCCAAACTTTGGCAGCATTGGGAAAATATAGAAAACAACTTGTAGGAAATTATTGGAGAATGTAAGAAAACCTGAAGTGATTCCCTCTGCAACTGGGTACGTAGATTCCACTGCTAATTCAAAGAACAAAGGAATTGTTCCATTTACAAACAGTCCTCCCAGGATGCTGGTTACAAACAGGACCACTTTTGAGTATGGAAGAACACCAGCACAAATCAGAGTAAATATCATCAGTGATACTGTGGCACCAGTCAAGAGTGCTATAACAATCAGCTTCATGTAACGAGTGAAGTGATCTGCAAATCTAAGGAAACAATATTACCAATAAATTGTAAGTGAATACTAACACAAATCAACATAGCTTTGGTATTTTGTTAACCCTTTACACCCCAACATAGTATGCATATTCTCCATACTGTTCTCATTACATTTCCTGAGGTGTCGAAAAGAAGAATTTCTTTAAAAATCACAAGCCTCTTTAGTTGGTGACCATTTCATATATTCTTGTGACCTTACTGTTTGATTCAAGGCTGATAAGTTAAGGAGAAATTAGACATTAGTAACTCTTGGGGGTCAAAAGGCCTACATAACCTAAACCACAAGTGTCTTCACAAGTGTAACAATCAGAGATTCACACTAACTGGGCCTCATTTTAATTCCAGTCCATTTTTTCTCCAAACAAAAATGGTAAAGTTTATCTAGGTTTTTCTTACATTTTGTTTAGTTCTTAACCACTTTACCCTCATGATCTCAATTAAAATTCCCTTTACTGTCTGCTACACATTTTGTTGGGATTTAGCTCTGGGAATTTGGTAATAATCAAGTTTGTTTTCCTTTCTTTTTGTCACCCCATTGCATAAAAATGTAAGAACAATGTAAAAATAAATCCTTTTTGATCACTCTTGGTTGTAAAAGGGTGAAATAAATGTACAAGTGAAATGAGATGTTATCTCTTTTTCACTGTCACCCTTGAATCAAATGTAAAGGTCATGAGAATGTGGGAAATAATAAGAAACTTAAGAAGCCTCTGATTGGCATAATTATAACCCCCTTTATGAAATAGGTTGTTGTTCATCATGGTTGCTGGATGATGATATAATATGGTCTGTTGTCTCATAACAAAGTTGCTAGATGTTGATCGCGACATTTTGACTGCTTACTGCAAGTCTTCTTCAGGCTATGGGGTCAACTGGTTCCAGCACAGCATTAGGTATAATGGTGGTCTGCTGCGATTGGTGCATTTTGATCTGGCTATTGTTTCTGTGTACCATGGTTTCCTAAGGCATTCATTGATTAGTTGTGCTTTGCTGGTTTTATTGTTTTCTAATTGTTGGCATCCACACTTAATCTCCATCTCATTATCTTAGAAAATGTGTAAAGAACAGTATGGAGAATATGCATACTGATTTTAAGGTGTACAGGGTTAATGACTGGAAGGCTGAAAGCAATCCATACTCTCTTGTCACAGTTCTAAGTCTCTCTGCTGATTACCAGATACAAGAGGCAGATTGACTAAGCCGTCAGCTAAACTTGCATCATGTAAAACCTTCTACGCATAACAATATAGTACTTACATTGAGAGGGAAATTCCTGAGACTGATCCAGCAACAACAGCCCCAAATCCCAACCATCCAGCTGTTTTCTGATCAATGTGGAACTGTGAGAGATTAAGATCCAATATCGAGCACCAACCACCATAGACTCCGGTTCCCATACCATAAATAAAAACCAACAACCAGAACTGGCCATTCTTCAGTAAGTTCTTGGCACCGATTTTAAATTCCAGCCGTCCCATAGCAGCAGTGACGCTTGGTGGTAGCTTTGGCTTCTCAGGAAAATGGATGATAACAAAGAGCATCGTTATAGTAGTGATCCCCAACTCAGTGTACATGAGATTCATGATTTTATCTCTCAAATGGTCAATCTCACTCTGGTTGAAAAGCTTTCTTAAAGCCAAATAGTCAATCCCTGAGTTAGTGGTTAAATTTTGCGCAGCTTTCATATCCCCTACATCTGGAACCATAAGGGGTCCAAGAATAAAAGAAAGTGCAGTTCCACTATAGCAGGCAAGGGAGGAAATGGCTGTAGCTGTTGTTCGCTGATCTGGAGGAAACCATGCTGCAGACACCATTGGAGCTGCTGCCATGGCAATGGGTCCCCCAATTCCAGTTATGAATTGTCCACAGTGGATGAGCCAAGTTTGAAGGGTAACATGCTCATCATTAAGGGGTATACATCGCAGACCTGCTCCAATGAATTCACAGAAAACAGCTGCCAGAACAGCTACTCTTAAACCTAGAGAATAAAGAAGCAAAAAGGAGGAGGATGTACAGTTACAACCACTACACAATGAATAGATCTTGTGTTCCTGGCAAATCCACCAGATCAAAGTTTACCAGTTGCCCAATGGTCAACTTTTATGGACTGACCAGGATCCAGTTGTTCAAAGGGCCAGTAATGCTATCCAATGAATAAATCGCCATCCAGGGGATGAGCGTCAACAAAACATATTGCCATAGCCATCAGATAGAGATGTATCCAATGAGTAGCATTAGTCACCTCTGGAAAAACGGGTACCTGAGGTCAGATGAAATCTCAGTTCATATGTTGGCTGATTACCAGAGCATTATCAAGTCACTTAAATTTTTCTTAGCTTCAGGTCAGTCCTATAGATTCTCACTGGCCTCGTAACATATTTTCCTTCGTTGTGATCGACTATTACGAACACTTTGGCTTTGCTTTCAACACTCAGTTGAAAAGATCTCTACTACAAAAAAAAACCTACGAAGCGTATAACAGATCAATACAGTGCTTCAATAAAATCAAACAAACTGTAAAAGAATCACATGCTATCGCTTGGAATCTTACAATCTAACTTTTAACTTCATTATAACTCTTTCTTCCAATTACCTTTCATATCCATAAGCCAGCACATTGGTACTACTGTGACCACGAACGAAATTGGACCCCAATCTGCAAGCAACGTTATGGTCGTACTATCCCAGCCAAACACCACTTGTGAAGTGCCTTGTATGGGTCCCCACGTATTCCAAATCAAATTATTCAATGCAGCAACGACTGAGAAGACTGCCAAAATGTACCATCGCCGCTTGTAAATTTTGCATTTATTCTGGTGAACAGATCCCATGGATTTGTATCGGCGATCATCAGAACGAAGCAATGCTGCTCTCTCCTCGAAGGATTTCCCTTGGTTCATTGTGATTGCGAAGCCAAAAGACAGGCAAATTACAATGTTTCTCTTTCACTTTGCTTTTGAAAAGGCTTCTTGATTTTTTGGAAAGGTTTCTCTTGCGCTGTTTCCGGTTTTTCGCACAGAATTTTAGGACCTGACCGGCGTCCCAAATATAGCTTCAAAATGAGAAAGCATGCACTACTTTACTTGGAACAACGTAAGCCCTTTTTTCTCTCCCTCTGTAATAACCTTAGTGCAGAATTACACCTTAAGGGCAAGGAAAAAATCAGTAGCGAAGGAAACTTCTTACTTTACCGCCGGCGAGTTCACAGTATTTATATCGTCATGTGATCACCGTTCAGGAAAGACTCTGCGGGGGAGGACAGGGTAAGAATATAATATGACTACACTTCGTTTCAACTCGCGCGCGTCAACTCCAAGTCACGCGAGATAACATTTCTTTTCGTCTATTTTAAAGACGACAAGCCAAGGAGAGCTATTTAATACGTAAGTGATCGAAAAGTAAAGTAAAACTTGGTTTTATTCTCGCGTTTATTCCCGCAAGTAGCTAGCTCGCCTTGGGTCACGAATGCACACAGCGCACCTGATGCGGGAGGGCAGCGAATCAGTACCTGTTTGAGATTTTCCTTTGGGGTTTTAGTCTTTCTTCCCTTGACTTCATCCTCAATTAATAAATTCCATTTTCTTTCTTCGTTTGTAGTTTAGAGAATTAACTAGGAAACTGAGGGGTTTCTCGGTTCTTTTCTTTTCTTTCCTTTTTACACACTGAAGTGTTATGAGCGGCCGTCACCGCCAAAAATACAGGCATAATATATGGTTTGTAATGGACGGAAATGGTCTAATTGTCTTTTGGAGAACGGTTTATACTATTTCAAGAGATTTATTTAAAATGCAAATGAACAAATATTGTTACGTGTGACCGTGGTAAAATGCATCATTTTACGCAACAACACATTTAAAGTCTAGGCAGTCAGAACCATAGCTAGGAAACGTGAGAGCGATTCATTGTTTTAAGACGACGAAACTACGACTAAAGGGCGCCTAAAAACTATAAAAACTAAAGGGTTGGGACGTAAGACCCGACATAGACTATTGCATTTCAAGCTTGACTTGTCCATTTCACTTTTTTTATTTTTAGCGGTTATGGCGTAAACCATCTGCTCTAATACTAAACCATTTCGGTCTGTACTAAACCATTTGTCGTCACGCTAAACCATTTTACTTTACGGTGAGTAGACTGGTGCCATACTAAGCCATTGCGGCTTACGATTAACCATTTGCCGATAACTTAACTCTACTCTGAACCGTTTGTGTCAAGTCACTGAGCCAAAGTACAGTTAGCTCAACTGTTTGTCATTTCGACACTGAACCATTTCAGTTAACACTTGGCCAATCGTGTTTTTATTGAATCAATTCAAAAACACCCAGTTTCTGAATTGTATAAACCATTTTTTGTTTGAATATTTCATTTCACCAAAGACGACTTGTCCATTTGTATTTTAGATAAATCTTTTGAGATAAGATAAACCGTTCTCCCAAAGACAATTAGACTATTTCTGTTTATTACAAACCATTTATTATGCCTATATTTTTGGCGGTGACGGCCGCCCATAAAGTTTGTAAGTGATATGTGTTCTGATTTGAGTGAAATGAGTGCGTAATCAACATACGTTTGCATTTATTTTTTTCATAAATAAACAGAAGCTACGTTTTTGTGCCTGTTTAACTTCTTTTGGTATAAGTAGATATCTATCGTCTGTTTTTATTATCAAATGGGCAATCTTTTATCGTTCTATCAAATAAATACACCGGTGGATGGGGAGGAAACTTCGACTTTAACGTAATTTCCCCATTTTTTGTGATTCCTCTAATTAACTCGACCGAAGCATTTTCCCTCCAATTTTTTTTGGCACTTGTTAGGTACCCTGCCCGTTGCAAGCTTATTAAATAGCGCTCTAATCGCGCAGATGGAGAAAGATCACGATACAAGCTTCGAATGATTATCACTGTTGAGGAATCGTCAATAGTAGCTTCCTTTTCATGCACAAGGCTTTCTCTGCGAGGTGCTGTTGTTCTGTTGTCCTTTTCACTTCTCCTGGACAAAACAGAAGACCTAACACGCTTGCTTGAAGACAGAGAGCGATTTGTTATCTCTAAAGGAGACATCATTTTATTTACAGTTGGTGCGCTGACGGATTTAAAGCCCAGACTCGAAGAGCGAAAACTGTTCGTTCTTTGCGCCGACTCTACAGGCTGTCCATTATCGTTATAAGTATGGAAAAGGTAGTTTGTTGCTCTTTGTCGTGTTGCCAACATATTACACTCATTTGTCGTGAACCCAGATGGAAACATAACATCAGGGCAGCTATATGCGTATCCATTGTCGGAGATCCTGCATAAACATCTCGGTGAGACGTGTTGCGGTAAATTTCTGTCACCAAGGGTGGCTGTCGATTTGAACAAAAAATAATAAAGCGTTACAGTAAAAGCTCCGCAAAAAGAGGCAGAGGCGGTGGTGTAACGGTTCATAACCTGAGTCCTTGATAGAGCTTGGTTGGATTCACTGTGTCGTTTTGCTCTCCAGCGAGAAATTTCAGTACCTCTCACAGCCATCTTCTAAAATTATAATTGGGGTATTGGGGGAATAAATACAGAAAACGGAGCAATCAAAACCGCACGGTGTATGAATAAGCGAATGATGCGAAAGCGGTGCGGGAGCCGAGTGAGGGCATGAGGCGAGAGCGGAAAAAAAGCGATGAGCGGAGGGAGGGGTAGGGCTTGTCGCTTTTTAGCTCACTTCGCCCCACGCATGCCCATAATTGGGAGAATTAATACAGAAAACGGAGTAATAAAAAACGCACGGGGAGAAGACAACCTGCATGATTCAGAATTCTATCCGGAAGGAGTGACCATACTTACAAACTGCTGTAGCAAACCTTATTTTTCCTTTTATCAAAGCGAAAGAAGCGAAACCGGAGCGGGAGCCGAGTGAGGACAGGAGGCGAAAGCCGGAGGACAAAATAATGAGTGGAGGGAAAGGTAGGGCTTGTCGCTTTTAAGCTCACTTCCACTCCATGCCCTCGCGTGATACCTGCTCCGCTAGGACCCAGGATGCCGGGACAAGCCACGAAAGCGTGAACCTCAAAGCACCAGAAAACTTCAAAAGCCAAACCTTTGTTGTCTTTGCTCTCGTGAGATGAAGAAGCTCCTCGCTTTACCCGGGGTATTATAGACCGGGCGCGGCCCTGGATTCGAAATTCCATTCCGTGGCACTGAATTCCCCTGCTAGCGAAGTCGTTCAAAGGCATCTTGCTGATCCATTCAAAGCTAAAATGCAACCTGTGAATAAAATTATAACAAGCATGAAAAGGGACAAGCACTTATTGATGTCTAGCCCAATGATACTGCTGGCAGTATACCGTGTAGAAATCTCTCTGAGATATTTTTGCATTCCCATTTTAACATACTTTCTTTTCATGTTTGGACACATCCAAAACTTTCAGAACTACATAGCCCAATTTATTCAGTAAAGAGCATAACTTCAGATTTCTTCGACTCCAGAGCAGTCTCATTAACACTAAATTGCTGTTTCTTTCCGCTTTTAGGAGTTCATTTCTCTAAAGCGTATTTAGTGTGAACGCAGTATATATAGATATTGTGCACACTCCGAGTCAGTTAGTGTTCCTTTGTAAGGAAGGTGAAAAAATTGAACCACAGGCGCGGTAAAGGATTATGTGTTGATAAAGGAAGGTTGCTAAGAGCGGGCACACAATGAAGGGAGACAACTGTGCAAACCTGCAATTAACAACCGGATAAAAACCTTCAGGTGTTTACTGGCTCTTAATATTGGTTTGGCCTTTCCCTATAAGATCTAACAATGGTTGAAAAAAACAACAAAACACAATTGTGGTAAAATTCTCTCCAAAGGAAGTGTCGTCTAATGAACAAAGGATTTACAAGAATTATAATTTGGTGATCAAGATATCATTTTGAGTTGTACTCGACGTGACTTGCAAAAATTTTTTTAAAGGCTTCTTTGCCCCAACCATGAGTTTACTCAAAAAAGACCTGCCTTCCTCAGTACTTTCTCTACACCAGGAGCCCGGGCTCCAGTCTATACTCAAAAGTTGCGTACAGAAAAAACAGGAAGTGAGGCTTATTGAGTTATTGGGTTGTATAAAATCTCTATATTGTCGTCATCTCAGATTCCATACAAATTTAAGCATCAAAAATAAGAAAGTTTTTTCTGCAAGATGCAGAAAATAAGTATTTTCGCGACTTTTTTTAAGGTTACTCCTTCCCACCTACCATCAGATGACAAAATACATATTCAAAGAAAGCCTTCCTTCCTCTTCTCTCTCTACTTAAAATTGCGCAAAAGCAAAAACAGGAGGTAAGGCTTACTAAGTTTTCCCATTGCCGGTATAAAGTTCCTTTCCTACCCTCATCTTAAAAAATTACATTAAAATTTTAGCATTAAAAAAACGGAAATTCTTAACAAGATGGAGAAAATAGGTATTTTCTTCGATGACAAATTTCCCTCTGAAGTAAATGTAAAGGTGACAGGGGGTATGCGGTTAGCTTTCTTTAGTAATTGTAGTCGTTAAAATTCAGAATTAAGCGCTTTAGCGCCTATTCATTAATAATTCAATGGCGATGACGACGTAAGTGCGGAAGGAATCATCTTAAAATTTACACATGTAAGGTTTTGTGTTTAATTTACCCTGCTTTGAATGGAAAACGACCCTTTGGACCTGTTTTCAGTAACGTGTTTCGCTCAGCTTTCTACCCGATATCGGTAAGAGCCTGTTACTTTTTCCCTCGGCTAATTTAGGTTTAAAAGAAAAAAAATTAAACATCTTTATTGTTTACTCACCGCTTGATTCTCCTTCAGCACAATTTGCAACGCTTTTTTACTGCTAGATGTACATTAGAAACCAAAACAACATTTTGAATCAGCTTCCGCGATAAAAAAAAATTTGGTAAGGTGTTGTTATTAAGCAGTGAGTTGCTTCAAATAAGATTAATTTCTTTGATATCCGCGGGCATATCAAGATTGCTGGATATTTGAAGAGTCCCAAGATCGTCCGGGAAACAGTGTTGTGTGATGAATGGATGAACAAATTAGCACCTGTCGAGTATACTGTAAACACACCTGCTGTTGTGCCCAGGACACTTCGGCCAGTAATGAAAGCACTGGGCTTTATTCAAGATAGCGGAGTTTCGTCACGTAAAATGTGAAATTAAAACGTTACGTAGCGTTAAATTTAGTTGAGTTAAATCTAGAGTGACTTGATTTCCTACCAACGCCCAAATGAGCTACAATAATGTACTACTACGATCACAACATTATACATATAAGTTTCTTTAGCTGTGCCGCAAAACAAAATGGTTGCATCGAAAAACATAAGGATGGGAAAATGTTTCGCAATTGTCAGACTAAGGCGAAACCCCTTTACTGCGAGACGTCAATGCCACCATATCGAAGAGGCGTAAAGTATTCGGCTTGTCACTACCGTTATCCTACACAAAAACGATAAATAGATTTAGATAATGAAAGAATAAATGAAAGAATAATTGAATGGTTGAATAAAAAAAAAAGTAAATATATGAACGAATGAATAATCGAATACCGCGGTGCAAACCTGTGTTGTTGAAGCCGTATTTTGTTGAGAAAATACACCTTTACATTCGCAACCAATAGAACTCGAAACGGAAAGATCGCGAATAATCTGGTATGACCTAATTCTCCATAAGGCTTCCCGTATTAAAGTACTAAATTTACACATTAGAGCAAAAACGTTTTTTTTCAGAGATTAAAAAAGGTGATCTTGTCCTTCTTTAGTTGCTGTCGCTGTTGTTGATGATGGAGGTGGCAGTGGCGGTTGCTGCTGGTAAGAGGGTCTGTCCGTTGACTTGGAGGTTAAGATTTCGTTTCCACAAGGAATAAATTTTTATCATTCCTATTGTGTCTAAACATTTTTCTCTGAACCACTCAGCAATTAAAGCGCGACATCGCCTTTATTAACAACTACCAGGGGCCCATTACTCAGGCTCCTGCAACTACGAATTATCTCATTATTAACTCTGTTTTGACTCGTCTACATCCAGTCTCTTGTACTTCGCTTTGTAGACTGCAATAAGCGGAATACACACCACGGTCGAGGAGACTAGTAACCAGTTCATCCATCGCGGGCTCGCTTGCGGGAACATAAAAGCAATGAAGAAGATCAAATTGATGACGTATACAGATAGGACCATTACACCGGAAGTGATACCTTCAGCTACCGGATATGTGCACTCTGCTGCGAGTTCCATGATGAGAGGAACAGTTCCACAAAAGAGAACGACCTGAGAGATACCCGAGGCGAAGAAGACTGGTTTTGAGAGAGGAATAATCTCCTCACATGCGAGCGATAGGACTGTTTGAGCTCCAGCCGTAGCCACAAAGAGGAATATTAAGATTGGCTTGGTGAAACTCTGAATGCGATCGGCATACCTATAAAGAATAAATAAAATAATAATAATAATAATAATAATAATAATAATAATAATAATAATGGTTTATAAGTAATCCACATGGTGGCCCTTCTGTACTAATTCACCATAATAAAATAATATAATATAATATAATTGAAATAAATATATGGATAAATAAATAACGTGCAACAAGATGTATAATTACATAAATAATATATAAATAATATACATAAGTTATGGATAGTATATGTAAAATTGTAAAATATTGGTGCAAGTTCATTCCCAAGCTCGCTCTTCTTCCTCTCTTTTGGAAGAGGGACCTTGAGAACGAATTTGGGCTTGCGCCACAGATGGAATCATAAAGCGCGCGCGGGTCGCACATACCTTCTTCCCCCAACCCCTCCCTGAACCCTTCCCCTCCCCTCACAAGCGCCTTATGTAGAACGTAAGTCCTTATGCTGTTAGCGTTCTGGAAAAAATAATTGTCTCCTTTTTTCATTTTTACAAGTAAAAGTAAAGATACCAACATCCCTAAGTGATATGCATTTTGCATGGAAACTCAAATAACTAAGAAATGACCTTAATAAGTTTTTACCCTATGGCGTTAAGTGTACTCATAATTTGTCACTGATAATATTGAAGAGTGGAGTATGACGCTTGAAAAACGTAGTGTTAGCGAAAGATAGAAATCTGACTTCTTTTTCTACTTACCATGAAAACGAAATACCAAGAAGAGACGCGACATTTGCTGAGAATCCTAACCAGCCAGCAGTCTTCTGATCAATTCCCACTCCGGAAAAGATGAGGTCCTGGACACTAGACCAACCCCAGTTTACTCCGTTACTGACACTGAATATGAGCAACAATAACCAGAATGACCGGTTTTTCAGTAACGTTTTGGCGCCAGAACAAAAATCTAATCGTCCAGCCGCGGAGGAAAGGCTTGGAGGGCTGGGCGGTTTGGCAGGAAAATAAATCAACACCGTGAAGAGTAAAACTCCCACCAAAACAGCTTCGATGAACAAGTAATCATTTATTCTTGACAAAAGAAATTTCATTTGTTCTGGAGTGGTGTGATTCCTCAATGTATCGATGTCGATGCTCTGTCCCGTTTCATATTTAGTCAAGTTGCCGTAATCAACGTCTGGGACGAGATGAGGCCCAACGATGTAGCTAAAAGCCGAGCCCAGATACGACGCCAGCGTGGCGATAGCCGTGGCGGTCATGCGCTCGTGTGGCGGGAACCATGTCGCGGACAGCACAAGCACTCCCGCGTTCTGAACCGCGGGTACGGCCACCGAGATAAGGAACTCTGCAAACGTTATAAATACTGTTCTCCATTCAGGGTGGGCCGGGATAAGTTCGCAGATGACAGCGAAGGTCTGAAGTGATATGGAACATAGCACTGCAAATCTTAGACCTAAACAATCACACGAAGAAAAATAATTAATGTTGACATATCGTGTATTTCGCGATCCTGTGTTGGTATATTTGCAAAACTTAAACATTTACCTTTTCATTTACTACTTCAATTACCAAAAATTTGTGGATCCCCCTTTGACAGGCCATCCACACAAAATAGAACCCATCTTATTTACGTGCAGTGAAATCTTACACCTTGTCATTACAATGGAAAAATAAAACGTGTGGGTGATAATTAAGTCACTTTTATGACCCTTTTGTCGGGTAACCAAAGAAATGAACGTTTAAAGGCTAATTTTCGTATCCTTCCCATTTCATCAGCTGATTGAATCCCTTCTCTCTGATAGAGCTCTAACCTGTAAACTTTTCTTCCTTTTGAAGCGGAAGAATGGCAGATTAAAGGGCCGCAGTATCGTGAAAAACCCATGAGCACTAATGGACTATCCATAATCGATTTTATGAAGGGGACTAGGAGAGCAAAGTCCAAAATTCATAGAAAAAATGGTTCGACGTTTTTTAACAGTAACCCACTACTCCAGCAAAGTGTTTCTGACCACTTGTCGGTTGCGCAATGCGCTCCTATTCCTTTCAGACTTGACACCTTCCATTTTTTTTTCATTAAAAAAAAGTATCTAGAAAATTAAATTGAAGCCGGCACAACAGCCATATTAGCTGGTTTTTTTTTACCTTTTTTTTCTGTTTTCGGGCGCATCGCGCCTGGGAAGTCGGGACAAGTCAAAGAGTTATACGAAAAAAATATATACAATAAAAAAATAATATTACAACGCCTGAGTTCGAATTTCGTGACCCTGGGCACAAGCTCTTTGTGGAATTTGATGATCTGAAATGATACTAGCTATACTAACCACAGTGAAAACTCTGATATTTTGTCTTCATCAAGGAAAAGGCTTCCTATTCGAAGGTTCATAAGCATTTACAACAGTATTTAGTGACCGTATAAAAAAAAATCTCGAGAAAATTAAATTGAGGCCGACCCAACAGCCATATTCGTTGTTTTGTTTTGTTTTGTTTTTTTTTCTGTTTTCGGGCGCATCGTGCCAAGGGAGTCGGGACAGCTCAAAGACTTCTACAAATAAATTATAAAGCTAGAGTTCGAATTTCGTGACCTTGGGCACAACTTCTTCTAGAATTTGATGTTCTGGAATGATACCACCTACACTAACCACATTGAAAACTCTGACATTTTGTCTTCAACATAGAAAAGGCTCTCTGTTCGAAGGTTCATTAGCATTTACCATACTATTTGGTGACTATTATCCGAAAGCGAAATTCAATCTAGATCGATTACCGTTTTGAAGCATACAAAGCGATCGATTCTCGTAATACGTGCAAATGGGAGCAGTAAAATAAAGCACAAAACTTACCTTTCGTGTCTAAAAGCCATGCGGACGGCACAATGCTGATAATAGATCCTAGCGCTTGAAGAGCACCGATTATCAACACGTTTGTTTTATTCCATCCGAGCACAAGTTGGCATGTCTCTTGAATCGGTGGCCAAGTATTCCACAGAATATTTCCTGTCGTGTTTAGCAGGGTAAAAATGATTAATATGTACCATCTTCGTTTGTAAACTTTAATGCTCCCAGCCGCCATTCTGTGCTCGATATCATCGGGCGAAGAGTTAACCACGAGATGCGCTGTTTCGTCGACTTCACGTAATGACATGTTTTCTTCCCTGAAACCCGATATTGTTTAAAATATTATGATGTCGATTAATGCGATTATTCGCTTTCCTATCGTCTGAAGAGTACATCGTTATCTAGACACATATTTCTCCTTTCCTTTTCCAACTTTCTCTCTCCAATGTCATGTCCATTCAGCTTATCAGCTGGTAGTTGAGAAATACCGGTTGCTATTTATTTTAAAGCAAATTATGCAAATTTATGCAAAGCATTTTTTGCAACTTTTCTTTATACCTCAGGCCCGACTGAGAGACCCTGGACTCTATCGATACCACGCACGAGGAGCAAAACTGCCACGCGTGTCCTCACGCGTGTAAATAAACGCTAGGTATGTGGTGTAACATACTTATTTCACTACTTGTTTTGCAAAATTCTCAGAAGGTGGCGTTTATAATTCGTCTGTCGAATTAATGAGTTAAATACTCAAATATGATAAGTACATGAACCAATATGGGCCAACATATGGACCAAAATGGGCCCCTAGGAAACTTCGATGAAGGAAAGCAACACAGCCAATTCATGGCCGAAACTTCCAAAATCTGCCTTCATAAAATGACGTGCTCGTATTGTGCCTTTTATTGAGTGCTTTCTTCTGAAGTCATCTCAAATAAAATTAACCAATTCAAATTATGAATTTAAATTTCATCTGTTCATTCATTTGGTCTTCTTTCCAAAATAATTATTATCAAACTTCTCAATCCAGTTTGCCGGTTGCAAAGATTTCACAATTCTCCTCAGTATGTGAATGCTTGAAGAACACATCATAAATTCATTCCCACGGAAGGAAGAACTTACTTCTACAAGCCCGGTAGTCGTAAAACTTGCATTGCAAGAAATGAAGGTTTAATTACGATAATATTGTCGTGAAATCCCATTTTTTTCTTCCTACTCTATCCTCACAGTTTTCCGTCTAACCTTGTCAACAAGATGCAGAGTACAACGATTCTCTTCCTCTCCGAGATTTAATTTTGCAACTAGTTGCTCACTGATACTTAGCTTATCTGTTCAGTTTGAATTGGGGGAGCACACCAGTAAGGCTAAACAAAACCTTGATACTTAGCTATAGAGCTAACTCAAGACGACAACGGTCTAAAAATATTACAAGCTAAATTGAGGCGAAGGAGCCTTCCCTTTACAAAAGGATTTTGACATTAAAAAAGTGATCATGTTCTGCAGTAATTGCAAAAACACAACACCAAATGAATGGCACCTCCCTTGGGTTTCCAAGGATATGACTCTTTCAAAAGACCTACTTTATTAAAAAGAACTACTTTATTAAAAAGGTCAATGTTCCTAGATGTTTTATTACCCTAAAGTTTAAGATATGTTCGCCTTTTTGTTTTAACTTGAGACTTCTATTGTAATTCAACACAAAAAATAGAGGATGACTTTGTTATTACGGTTTATAAGTGGAGGTAATACCTAAAACACATGGATCTAGCCGAAAATTAGGATGCAGCAGAATTCTTAATCGCATCATTAATTACACACTGAAAGTCAGTGTTTATTGCAGACAACCGGCCCACCGTGAATAATTTTATTTTTGTATCCCGCGTTTTTAACACTTATATCATGTTCCGCAGTCATTTGCCAATTTTGGATCTACAGGCCGCGTCGTGGGAGCATTTTTCGATAGGGAACTGCGATGCAGTGTTACTGGGAAAGTAGCTTGATTTAGGGTCTACTAATTTGTCGACAAGCCGAGAGGTTTGAAGGGGGTTGGTTTCTAAAGAAACCGCGGTGATGCGTCGGTGGAGGGGTGTGGGGTATTGAAAGATAATCTCGTTTTATCAACTAAATTGATAATGTTATTAAACTGGCTACCGTAAAGCTGGCATTTCGAGCGGTGTCTCTTCGTCAGAGCGGGAAAGGGAGTTTTTTCACTTCTTTCTTTCAGTCAAATCCTTTATTCCCTTCGAGGGAAACACCTGGCTTGAACGATATGGGGCAATTATGTAAAACTATTAAGATTAAGCTGGTGGTTTTTCTTATCCTGAACAAAACCGCGGAATTAAGTTAGTACTAACAATCCTTATAATAGGATGATGAGGAAATAACAATCACTTGTCTCTGGCTTGGATTTCCGACCACACACTTCTGTAAGAAGATAAATGGCTGGCTTGTTTTGCGATGATCCTCATTGCATTGGCCTACATCCCTTGAACAGTGTCAAGACTAGGTTGGTAGATCACCAGAGAAGATTGAACGTTGTGTTTAAGGTTTGTCGGTTTCATTTATGTACTGTTTTATTACCCTTTGTAATCCTAGGCACTGCCTCTGCTTAAACAAAATGGTATTGTAAGAATACCATTGTAAGTATTGTAAGCAAGAAGTTAATTTAACATTTAGGGAAAAGGTAAGGGAAAACTTATCGATCGCTCTTCATGTAAGAGAGTCATCTGATGGGGGTATAGCTTTGAGTTTATGGTTAAAATTCGGGCCTTTGGAAGTTGATGGTTCTCAATAAGAAATTTTTCCTTTCTTTTTTTCCACCTTGATTTAGTGTACATTATCAGGAGCCCACGAGCTCACGAGCAAAGAGGTAGTAAATGAGTGATTCAGTGATTTTCCCAGAATTCAGACATCAGTGTTGTTCTCGGCACAGATCAAAATCAAATGCGCCATAAGTTTAATCTGACTACGAGCAACACTTCCCTTACCGAGAAGTTTAGCAAGTCCCAGGCGTTCAATTAGAAATTCGGGGCGAAATAGTGAACGGCGCAATAGTAGCGGAGGAGTAAAAAAGCGAGAGAGGCTTGTGTCGGGTCGCGAAATTTGCATAACCCAAGCCTTCCTCGTTTTTGCACTCCTCCAAGCGTCGTTTATCATCGCACTTTTGTGAACAAGCGTCGACTTCATGAGTCGTTTCACGGCTCGCGTCCTACTGGACGTAGGATAAAAGCGCCAGCAAAAGCTTCTGGTACACTTCTATCGGAAAAAAATGTGTTGTTATTTCCTTCGATTAGGGCTGAAATAGAGGAGACGTCTGCGCGTGTTTTACAAAAATATACTTTTTGTCTAATGCCAAGTACCCACTTCTTAAAAAAACAGTATCTATTTCAAGTTCCACTTCTGTTAACACCTACACTAAAAAAACAACAGGGATGTCCGGTTATCAGCGGGACCAGGGGAAGTTACAATCTTCTGGGGTGACTCAATACAATGATTATGTATATTACCCGCTCTTTTCACGTTTGTCATGTGAAACGGAGGAGAAGACCATGTTATCAAGACATATTTGAAGACAAATATCCTGTGCGAGGGACCGACAGAATATTTCTGTAGCTAATCTTCAGGCAGCACCCCTTTCCTGCCACTCCTCCCTCCTCTGATTTGCCCTTGAAATTATCAAAGTTCAACCACATCCTAAGCATTTCCACGATTTGGTCACGTTTTAGCACTTTTATGTGGTAAAATTTGTTTGTGTTGGTTAGGGTTTCCTGATTAACAATTTGGGTGTCCAAATGATTCGACTCCAAAATTACAACATTGAGTGGGTTAAACATCCAGAGTCTCGGCAAGTTAGGCTGTCACAACTGCCTTGGTCTTCTCCTATAGTGTGCTCTGACAATACTACCTTGGCTGACAGTATTGCAGGTGTTGAGTTGTACGAGTTAACATCTTTTCGCTAGGTAAACAACAGTCATTTAGTAATTGGTGAGTAGGTGCGGAAAAAAAAACATTCTCTTTAGCTATTCACTGCATCGTATAACGAACTTTCTTTTTTTCTGCGTTTCTAATCATAGTTTATCGAAAGTGATTCAATCTACACATCACGTAAAATAATCACGTCACAAATCATCATCACTTTCACGAGCATTGTGGTGCATTTTGCGAGCTGAATCGAGGATTTTTACGGATTAGATCATCTTCACATTTATAAGGCGCTACATAAGTATTGACTAAAATGTATTTTCGCACGCTCGCTTGATCGCTCAGATTGTTTTTTTTTTTTTTTTCATTTTTTTAAGCTTTTATTTTTCTCAATGTCCTTCAATGTGATAAAAATATTAATACAGTTTATTTCCTTTGCAATGAAAATGTTTGGGTACTTCTCAGAGTCAAACCCAAAATATTTCTGCCCACAAACAAAAACAGAATAAACTTTATTTTTTTTTAAATGAGTATTTTTAAAAATAACTTAAATGTTGTCAAGGATCTTCAGATATTTTCTGTTACAAGTCAACTTATGAATGCCGATGGCCAAAAAAAAACGTGAAAATATCGACCATATAACAGTTCAGAAGAGAAAAATCTCGAGAGTTAAATGATTCTTTAGTCGTAGATTCGGTTCTTCGGATTTTTTCAGTCGTAGCTTTTTCGAACATTGTCTGTCCTGGAAGAGCAAAAAACTGTCGCATTAGATAACTTCACTGAGCCGAAATTCTCGAAGGCCAGTTCTGAGTTCTGAAGGGAAGTTTATTGGTAGAAAAACTATCATCACATAGTTGGAAATATTCTATAAGCTTACAAATTGTGAACATGAATGAGAATTAATTATTACATGTATGAACTATTTCGAAACTGTACCTTCCCGAATGCTGCCATCTTAGATCGTATGACGTGTCAAAGGTGTTTTCCATACTAGCGGCAACCGTACTACTTTTATACGGTTTACAAATAAGTTCCTCTATTGTTTCTACACCCAACAACATCAATTTCAGTTACACTAAATTTGGTTTTTAATAAGGATTGTTTGCGTAATGCACGCTTAAAACTTTTCATTAATCTCTTTTGACTCGTGCAACGAACTGAGATGGAAGGATTTCTCGACCTAATCTATTTATACACGTAAAAAGATTCTTGGACCTGTTTCTCGAAAGTGAGAGCAACTTAACAGGACCGAAACCATATTTTTTTCTATCTTGAATGTAATTTAGATGTACATTTTATTGCATTGAACAACACCTGGCTGAATGGAAGATACTTATTTTAGTGTTTGTCTACATTTCCTGTGTGGTATGATGTTTCGCGGTGATTCTAAAGTAGGTTTTATTGGTTTTGGCTTCTCCGTACATAAATTTAATTACTGTTTTCATCGGTAGGTGCACGCTACAACTTGATTTAAACCTCATTGTTGTCATTCTTTTAACAGTACCATGATGAAAGCTTCGACTTTGGTTTTGGTGCTCTTGGTTGTAATTTTGCTTTCATCTGTGAGACTTTCCTTTGGATATCCAAAAATATTGAAAAAGATATCAGCAAACGGAAAATCTTCATTGCAATCGCGGGGAGTGTCATCCGATGGAGATGAACATCAAGGTAGGTATATTAATGCTAACAAAAAATTATTTTTATCAATGTATGGTTTTTCCAAGCGTTCGGTAGCGCTTTTGGTTTAGTTTCTAACTGATTTTGCCTCAAAAACGCATCTTCAAGCAAAAAAAGAAAGAATGAGACTTTAAAAAGAGAAAAAATACAGAAGCCAGACAATGTAGCCTGAAGAAGCTAAATGGCCAAAATCACATCCATAACACGCAATCTTAGATGATTCTGATTAAAAAAGGATAAAGTAATAATACTGTCATTCACAGGACAATCAATCTAAACGTAAACTGATATAAAGGTGTACGAGAAGTAAGCGAGTCGCTATTGGTAAGCTTTTAAGAAGCGAATAGCCCTTAATCAAGGAAGTGAGATCTTTCTGGCACTTTTAGAATGGGTTTTGAGCAAGGCGATGGCGGACTGGCTTCTGAACGAAGTGTGAAGTGCTTATGTGTGGTGTAAGGAAACGAACGTAAAAGCCATTTAGAAGCAGTAATTTTGTAGGGACGAACGAAAAAGTGAGGGGATCAAGATTGAAAACAGGGGCCACTCCTGCTGAAAACCCCGCCTATTTTATCCGGCCCGCTTATTTGTTCGCTGACCGAGAGCCTGGCACGAGCTGGGCACAAATTAGTAGTTTCACTGACTGGTTGTTTGAGAGGTTGGCGCATGTCTTCCAAACTAATCACAAAACACATCAAAGCAAATCAAATGCAGTCTAAAGGCACTTTTTACAATTAATCAAAAATTGCTCTCTAAAATGGCTCTTTTTTGTTATAGTAGTTAAACGACCCACTGACCTACCTTGCGTCGATGAAAAAGACAGATACCATTGTTTTTACGACATAGTGATGGCGGATGCGTGTTTAACGAAAGTGGAGGAGATGTGGAAAAATTGCAGATATTCTTGCAACTTTTGTAAGT